AAAATTTGTGCGTCCATTAAGATAGACAGTAACATAAGATAAGATTATTTAAACAAATGAGCTTTCGTGGGTAACTTTTCTTCTTTCTAGAAGGTTTTACATTTACCCACTTCCTAGTTCGACTGCCTGCAAAGTCTTAAAATTTCAACCGATTGCAGAAATTAATAAATAATTTATTTTGTCTGAAAAACCCTTTATTCCCGTTTTCTTATATGCTTACATCTGCAAAAATTACCAAAATTTCAGGTTTCGCTTCTTTTCCCGAAAGCTAACTCTTCTATTAAAGCAAAGAACTAACGCTAAATGTGTTTTCATCACAAAATATAATTATTTTCCTTTGATTGAAATCCTTGTTTTTGCTTCTTTTCCTAAAAGTATGCAGTATCTATTTATTGCATAATATATGGTAATTTCAGTATATGAATGAAAAAATGTTAGGGGGAGAAAATTAAATGTGTCACTTCACAAACTACTGGTTCAATCCGAATTTCCTTTTTATTTCACAACAGAGTGCTAAATATTAATTTTTAGTATAATTTTAAAGTTATTCAAAAATCTGACTCATTTGTTTGTAGTGACAGAAGCGAAAATATAATGTTACACATGTTTAATGTTAATGTTGTTAATGTAATTATTAAATGGCAGAGTAATTATTAAAAGCAACTAGTATATATTCGGAAAAATAATAAAGTAAGATTCGGGAAACGTGGCAGTCTTTTGTCTGATTATGGATCAGATATATTGCTGAAGTTTTGGTGGAATTGCTTAACAAGTTCGGGTAGCTGCTATACAACTCAAAAATCTAATTTTAAATTTTTGGAAAAATAATAAAGTCAGATTCATGAAACTTAGCAGTCGTTTGTCCAATTATAGGTCAGACATATCCGTGAAGTTTCTATAGAATGGTTTCACAGGTTCGAGTAATTGCTATACAACAATGAAAGGTGCATTTAATCGGTTCATACCGACTGAAACTTTTTAACTTGTCTTTATATATTTTCTGGAAGCTTACATGTTTTTATATATGTATGTATGTCCATATAAATGTATTTATTTTCTTAGATAGTATAATAAATCCAAAATTTTGCACTCCAATCTGCAAAAAAATCTTTATTTATGGTTTATTTTTCTCAATTTTCAATAAAATTAATTGTGGTTCGCAGTTTTTAGAAATTTATTTCTAATTTAAGAACATAGCTATAATGAAAATAATTTTGATGGCAAACTATTAATAAATACTAACTTCAAACGGTTGGCGTAAATTAAAAAACACTTTCTCCAAGTGTTTTTAATTCTCTAAGAATAAAAAAACTTTGTTACTAAACCAACCATAAAAGACTTTTCGTACATCTACACATGTTAGTATATGTGATTTTGATCAATGTAATTAAGAAGAGAAAGAATGAAAACAATAGAATTTTGCAAATTAGTTTTAATTAAATCACATTTACAACTTAAATAAGGAAAGTGTAAAAATATTAATTTAAAAGGTACTAGAATAGCACTTGTACATCTGCTTTTTATAAAAATTCAAGTTCTGCTAAAATAAATTCTTTTAAATTAAGACAACAAAAAATTAAAAATCGGTTTGATTTGGTGTTGAGTGACTTAGGTTGCCTCAAATCTCGGAAATTTCAAACCTTTAAAATTTGAAGTAGTTACATTTGCTGGCGTATGAATAAATCGAGTTTCCCAACAATTAACGAAAAACTAAATATAAATTGATTAATTTTAAATGAATATTTGGTTGACAAAATAGTCGAAAATTGAAATTGCAATAATTTCGCCCAAGATTTTGTGATATCATTCGCTTTTATAATTTTCGTTCTTATATTCTTTATGAATATAAAAATACCAAAAGATTTTATTTTAATTGTTAATATGTTCGAAGAAATTTAATTAACAATATAAATTGTAATTCTTCAAGTGAAAACCGCCGGACATGTTCTCCTTTTCCTTTTATATTAATTGTGTCTTATTGTAAGACAAAAACATTGTAGTTAATTATGGTGGCTACAAGTGTTGACATCGTATTATATGATTTTTATTTTATGTCTTATCCACACATACATGTAAATACATATATGTATATGTATGTGCATATGTGTCTCTCAAGGGAACCTTGGAATTCCATTTTAGTTAAACTAAAAAAAAAAAAATACGCCTGTCAACATGTTTGATTTTTACGAAAGCATCAGATTTTTTTTAAACAAACCGTATAACTTCAAAAAAAATAGACAAAAAAAAAACGTGGAAACTGTTTTCTAGTTAATTTAAATTAAGCATGTACCTGTCCATCAAATATCTAGTAGAGATTCTGAGACAATATAATAAAATATTCAAGAATATTCTTCCCCATTCCAATAATTCATTAACATAAAAATTTCTTTTGACTCAATTCATTAATTTCAAATACTTTCGAAAGTTTATTTTAATTTTAATTTAGATATTTTGGTATTTTAATAACATTGTTATAAAAGAAAAAAACAATTTTGCTATTTTGTTTTTGTGCTTGGAAATTCGTAAACAAAATTATCGTCACCGCAATATAAAAAAATTGACCTACTCTTTATGCAGAAAATGGCTGTCCTATGACTAATTCTTATACATTTTGATATTAAAATGTGAAACTCTTAATTGAATGCCTTTGATTATGAGGTGGTGTATTTGCTATGTTGGTGGAAATATAGAAATTTCCGTTTAAGGTAAAGGAAAATTCGAAAAATTCAACAAGCTTATTGTTTTTTTTTGTAAGAAATCAACAATTTTTTATTAAACTTCGAGAAAATGTTGTTTCTACATTTAGTTTGTACTTCTAAATTTAACGAAACAATTTAAAAATAATACAAATTTGTGTATGTAGGTATTATGTAAGTGAATCTGCAAGTTATGTGAGCACTGCTTAGAATTTTATTCGTACATACATTTTTTAGTAATGGATATTTTTCACGTTGCTTTTTAGCATTGGAAACTTCAACAGGAATCAAGAAGCTGGAGCTGAAAGCCAATTAAAAATCTTAGTTTTTCCTTTAAATTATTGACATTTCGAGTATAATTTCGAGAACAAGAATTCTCCTGAGTACATTTTAAACAGCTATAATGCTTTCGAATCACATGATTTTAATTAAAAAAGTTTCAGTTCTTACATTATGATATCTAAAATTTTAGCACATCTAGAACTAGACTATAGAGCTCTGCAATTTTAAATACCTCTTACCTGTGCAGCTTCCAACGTTCAAGCTCATGGAAATATAGTAAAACATTTGCAATCTATACTCATTTTATAATAAACCAAAAAATTTTAAAATCTAAGTAATCCTAATAATACAATTAATTCTAAAAAAAAATAAAAAATATTCAGTTTTGGAAAAAATATCAAAAAGTGAAGTTTGAAAATTTTTAATTTAGTTTTATTTTAATAGAATTTCGAAATTATGTGTTGAATTTGTTGAATTTTTTCCGTGAAAAGTTTTAAGAATCAATCGCGTATTTTTTAACATCCTGTAATCGAAGCCAGTTATAAAATCATTTACGATGTATCAACTAAAAAAAGGTAACCTATGTTCATTGATTGTAAAATTTCATCTCTATGAAACCCTTTCACACGGGTGTCTATCGATATTGTGCAAATTTTTTAGGAAATTTTCGTTGTATTGAAATAAGAACGGAATTTATAGCTTAACGGAAAATTGGAATATTGAATTAGCGAATACCTGTGATGGTTGAATTGCGACGAGTTCATATGTTTGCAAATCGCATTCTTATCAAATTCAAGAAATCAATACTGGCATTAATACTCGTATTTCTATTTTTTTTTTTTGTAAATCCCCTATACTATTTTCTATTAAATCATTAATTACACTACTTAATAACAATAGATACGATTTTAATCTTAAAATTTCAATTTGAAACCATTTAAAAGTTTGATTTGTGTTTAGAAGAAGTGCAATTTTATTTTTATGGCAATTGATTATCATATGGCTTTCAGAAATATTATAAAACAAAGACTCGTTTTTAATACAAATTTTTAATTCAATATCAATATAATTTATACACAATTAGTTTAATATTTATTGAAATTCAAATTTTCTCTGTAATTAGCCTAAGGGGTTGTTGAAATAAATGAGAGATCTGATTATTAATGAGACTTACCAAAAGATATTTATTATATATCACAGTAGTAGAATGCTTCAAATAGAAAGTTTATTTAAAACAAAAAAAATATTTGTTTTTATATTAAAAGGATTGCTTTCGTTTTCAATATTAATTTGGGATGAACATAATAAGAGACTCCACTAAATTCGGATTTTTTTTTGCAAATTAAATTATTGTATAAAAAATTTCTTTACATTTCAGAGAGTTTTTGCATTGAAAAATTTGTTGCTTCCTCAAACCCTCGAAAACGAAGAAATTAATGGAATTTTAGAGATATCAAAATAATTCTTGGTATATTGTTCAATTAATGGGCACCGACACAGAATTATGATTTAAAATGTGCATTAGATTACATAAAGAAAAAATAAATAATTTTTTAACACTACACCTTGGCGCTTGGTCAGTCATAAGTGTTTAATAGACATTGCATGCATTCATAACTAAGAGCAAGCTTAACTTATATTTCAAAAATTCTCGGGTCCCGTTGATTTAAATTTCTCAGCCCATCTTAATTGAAATTCAAAATAAATTTATTATTCTTTGGTGTTTTCTACAAAAGCACTTAAAATAATAATAAAGGAACCAAAATATATCATGGGCCCAAGAGAGAAAGTAATTAAAAGTATGTATTCTTTTTTTTTTCAATTCAAATTTATTACCATTATTTTCGAATTTATTTTGGAAATTGTTTTTTTCCTGTAAATTTTTTTTTTTTGGTTATCTGTTCTTCTAGAATAAAATTTAACTTTGATTATTGTTGGTGGGTTGTAGGATTGATTATACTAGACTTTCTAAATTACAATGAAATTTAAATTATATTATTTTTTTTTTGTTTGTATTTGCAGGTAGCGGCCATGATGTCCTGCCCCATTCCTTTACCATTGCCTAGACTTCCATCAACATTACATGGTGATTTTCCACCAGTTCACATAGGAGTTAAGGTATATCTTTTCATGTTGTTGATATTAAAATTCATAAAGATTATAAAAAAAATTACATTGATAATTAAAAATTTAAAATACTAATTAAGAATAATTGATAACTACTGTCACAATTTGACAATATTGTATAAAAAAATTTTAGCTATTTATAAAGTTTATTATAAAAATATTTATTAATCTATGTGATTTGGGAGGAAAAGTAAAGAATAACTTTCGTATACACTCAATATCATTTAACAGCGATATTTTTGGCGAAAAAATTATTTTACGCTAATACTTAATACTTTTACGCTAAAATTTTTACGCGCGTTCTCTTAATTCGGTGTACAGAAATTATTCATCAAATGATTACACAGATTGATGTTTAATGTGGCTTGTCTGTTTCCGCTTGCCTGTTTCAGCGGAATTTTCACAACATATCAAGTAAGATTAACGGTTATGGTAAATCAATTAAGGTGGAGATGACTAATAGCAATGCTGACAGTAGTCTGAAAGCAGCACATTCCTTGATGTAACAGAGCAATACTTTGCACTGTTGCAAAAAACAATTTATTTAATGTTAATTTTATTTCGATCCTAGTTTTATTTTCAAAATTAGTTTTTAAATTAGAAGAGCTTTTCTTTATTGAAAATTTTATTTTAAATTGTAACTTTGGTTTAGAAATTTTTTTTCTACTTATTGCACATTTAGGTCTGGTCTTAGTACATAGGTTTGTCTGTACTAAATATAGGTTTTAGTTGTCTTAATATTTATATGGTACGCTGATAAGTCGAGAGCCTCTTTGCTTCCTGGTGCCGGGTTATTTGGGCCGAGGACTAGGTACTTTTGAGCCAATGATCCACCCCTTGCTTTGCGTTGCATTGTTACCTCATGTCTAATATAATCTAATTGATTCAATAAAAGGTTAACTGTATAAAAATCTATGAATTTTAATTTTTGTTGGGAAACACAGTGAATGTCTGTATTAAATTTGAAAAATCTGTTCTAATTATTCAAAGCTTTAAACTCAAAAAAAATTTAAAAGTCTAAACATAAAACTTTTCGCTGATAAATTTGATTTTCGAATCATTAAAAATGTGAAATAAAATAAAAAAGAAACTTTTATTTTTGACACCTACAATTGAAATGTTCAGAGAACATTGTAAATAAATAAATATCACAATAAAAAATATTCTTTCACACGTTTTTTTGGTTCGAAATCCTTTATTTATAATATATTTTTTTATTATCCTTGATTGACAGTACGCCAATTTAAAATCCTCCCCTGGGGTTCGTATTATTCGCTTCTTAAACTTCTTCACGTTTTAATTCTTTTTTTTTTCGCTAAAAAAAAAAGCCTATATTTTCCTATCATTCTCTGTGTCTTCCCTGTTTCCTTATTCAATCTCTATTCTACTTTTTTTGGATTTGGTTTATATCATTTTTTTTTATGTTTGTATGTCCTTTTCATTTCTGTCTCTTATTCCTTACTTGTTATTCTTCAAGTATTGTTGATATTTCTCATTTTTTGATTTTGCTTCTTTATTTTTTGATCAGCCTCATTTCAATCGAGTTTTCTCTCTTGAATTTAGAATTTTAAATCCTTAGAATATGAAATGTATATGATCTATATATGAAAAGTGGAAAGGGAAAAATTTCATTCATAGACATAAAAAATTTTTCAAGGAATCATTATTAAAGGCGAAATATATTTGAATATCTTATGAATAAAAGATAATTTACATTTATTTTAATTGACGTAGAGAAATACATATATACATATATTTTTATAAAGAAAAAAATTTGAATTGTATGAAGTACTGAGAATATGAAAGTGCCTTAATTGATGAAAGTACCTAAGGATGTATTTAGACGTAAACAACTGCTACATAGTGGTCCAATTAACATAATCATAAAGTGTAAGATTTATCGACCTAGAATTAGGGTAGTTATGGTTTTTACATTTGATGCAATCTTATTAAAGTATTCAAAAATCATTTTTATGCTTCATTACTTTATCATTATACGTTAATCATTAATTTGAGTTCCGAAACAGATTCTAATAGATCGCACTGTATTCCAGGTATTCAATCTGGTAATCGTAATTAAAGTAGCAGTCATACAGTTACCACGCTATTGTTAAGGAAATACATTTTAGAAATCGAATTATTGAATCTTGATTAAAATACATTTTAGTTTTCAGTTGTCTCATTTAATTTTGGAAAATGAGCAATAGTGTTTAAAGAAACCAAATCTTATATGAGTTCCCCTTCCCATTAATTAAAAATTTGTGATTAAAGCCTTAACATTTCAGGTTTTGAAAATTTTTTTGCAAAATAAACTTTTGTATTTTGAGAATAACTAAAAATAGATTAAAAAAGTTTGTTGAATAAGAATTACCGTGTTAACAGAATTAAGAATTACCGTGTTAACAGATTAATAAATTTTTAACACTTTAAACTGTACAAAGCTAATATTATTAGTAAGATTTAATTACATCAGTTCAAGTGATTTTGCTATCGACAAAATTTTTTGGCCAGCATTTTTTTCGTCAATTTTTTTAAATACAATTGTTTCTGTATCATAACAGTAGCATTAGTTATTATTTAACAAAGCTAAGAAATTATAGAATAACTTCTTTTTCCAACTGCTAAAGCCATGTAAATTTTCTTATATTCTTGTAACAAATATTTAGTTTGAGGTTATTCAAGATTAATTATTTATTTCTGGATAAAGACATTATAATTTATAATTTACGTTCAGAGTAGAATTAGAATGTTAATTCAGTCATGTAAATTACATACATAAAAGATAAGAAACTTAAATTATACAAATTTTTTTTTAGTTTTCTTTAGAAGGTGAAAAGAATTTTACAGAAGCTAATAGCTTGCTAGGAATTTTTATTTTTGATTTAAAACCGTGTTTTCCATTGCAATATAGAAAAACCTTAATGTAGAAAAAAAAATCACATAACCCTTTTTCTTTTTTTTTGAAATTTCTTTCTTTCCATTTTACACTTGCGAAAAATAAAGAAGAATTTTATAAAAGACGAAAAAAATATGCTATAAATAATAAGAATATCGACTTTATGACAGGACATAAATTTTACAAGAAAAAATAAAAAAAAAACAATGAAATTTAAAAAAAAGAAAATCTAAAATCTCTCTGAAAGGTTCATCCAATTGTATGAGTAACGCGTCCTTCGTAATATCACAGAACTAGGAAAAACAAAGAAAGAGAGAAAATATAAGCTAAAAAGCAACAAGTCCATTTCATCTCAAGTAATAAAAAACGTTAAAAAAAATATTTATCCTTTGTCAAAATATCAAAATTTACAACAATATGCCATAGCTAGCATAAAAATGAAAAAATAAAAATAAAAATTAAATAAAAAACAATAAAATGAAAAACACAAAAAAGTGTCAAATGTGACGTGTGTTATGTTAAAAGTGTGAAGTTTAAGTGAACTATGGTAAGAGGTGATGCATGTCACTGCTTTAAAGCTTCGCGCCGTAATTCAACGTGAGGAAAATTATATTTATCTGAAGAACGAAAAAAAATAATTTTAATATATAGTAATAGTTGATCCCTTCAACTATAAGTATTATTCAAACAAAATATTTTTATTATAATAATTTTTACTGTTCGTAGAATAAAGTTTTTTAGTGTGCTAGTTGCTAGAGATATGTTAGGGACTCGTGAAGCTCTAACTGTCCTCATTTTAGCAAACCTCTAATTGATACCCGTCACTACCTTACATTATGTAAATTGCTAAGCACAACTTGTTTTCTATTAAGAATTTTTTCATGGCATTGGTACAAAGTGTCTGTTAAAATTTTCTCTTTTATTAATACTATTCATCAGGCGCCGGCAAAGTGTGGCCCATTCAACTTCAAAATGTTGCTCATCATTGCGACTATTAAAATTTTTCAAAAAAAACTTTGAGAATTCGATCATAGATAATAGATGTAGGAACATAAAATTCCATATAAATTCAATATTTGCCAAAACAAAACATTCAATAAAGTCAATTGAAAATGTAATTTTTCTTGTAAGTTGGTAATGTAAGAAACTCGAATGGTCCATACTCCATACTCATACTCACATTGTACACATTTGCCCACAAACCACAAAAGTATGGCGACGGCTGTTATACATTTTTCTAACAAAAGGTTCTTACAAACCATTTCTTTAAACATACGAAGAACAGAAAAAGTAAGCCTCTAAACGCATGTCTTGGCTAATTGCTGAACTTTTGCAGTGTCAAATGCCAGATAATAAACAAATTTGTTTATTTAAGCAAGATGAATTTCTAAATAATTTGTTCTATAATTTTGAAACTTATTTTCGCATTATAAGTGAATTATTGAAATTCTAATAGTATTATTGTTTTTAAAAACAATCGCGAAATAAAAGAAGAAGAACAGAAAATAAGCCTTAAAATCCGCCTATTACTTTTCGTGACTTTTGCTTTCTTATAATTTTTTTACGATAACAATAAAACGAAAATAAATCTATAAAAAAAATATAAGTATTCTTTTTTTTTCCGAAAATCCTTATTTGTTATTACCGTTACATTATATTTACATGCCTATATGATTAGATATTGTATGTATGTATTTATTAATATGAGATAGGCATATTTTATGAAAATGTTTAACGATTTGTTTCCATGTATGTATGAAAATCAAAATTTCTGTTTAGATTTTCTGTAGAGTCTAAATTTTATGTTCATATAAAGGGTGCTTCTTTTTTTAAATTTTATATTCTCATTTGAACTGTCATGCAACTGCTGAATTTCTAAAACAAATTTGACAGAAACTATACTACGTGTACGTCGTTGTTAATATAATTATAAATGAGGTGAATTTTAAGGTCCTGCTATTGCAAAGAGGCTGGTGCGATATATAATCTTGTTTCGGTAATCATCGATTTAATCAAACAAACATTCGAAAAACGAATGATAATCAAAAGAATTCTTAAATTACATGGTGTAATATTTGAACACTACTTTTTACGC